ACCCTGTTTCTACTAAAAATACAAAAATTTGGCCGGGCGTGGTGGTGCGTACCTGTAATCTCAGCCACTTGGGAGGCTGAGGCAAGCAAATCACTTAAACCTGAGAGGCAGAGGTTGTGGTGAGCTGAGATCATGCCACTGCACTCCAGCCTAGGCAATGAGAGCAAAACTGTCTCAAAAAAAAAAAAAAAAAAAAAATTTAGCCGGGCGTGGTGGCAGGCTACTTGGGAGGCTGAGGCAGGAAAATTGCTGGAACCAGGGAGGCAGAGGTTGCAGTGAGCTGAGATTGCGTCACTGCACTCCAACCTGAGTGACAGAGCGAGATTCCATTTCAAATAAATAAATAAATAAATAAATGTACATTTCACTGTCTACATATATGCTAGCCCACATGTATGTTTGTCTTTAAATCTTTCTTTATTCTTTTTTTCTGGCCATGTCTTTTCCAGGGTCCAGTCCAGGATACTGCACTACATTTAGTCAGGGATTGTTTTTATTTCACCGACTTAGCTTGGGGGCCTTGTCTGGCTGGTGAAGGAGGACCTTCCCTCACAAGTGGTTCTGTGAACACTGCATTGCTCCTAACTCTCTGGATGCCGCTACGATGTCAACACAAATAAGTGGTGAGAACATAAGACCTTGAGAAGTCCCGCCAGAATCCACGCCCTCCCCCACCCTGCTTGCTGCTGCTTTTGTGAGCCCTTTTAGGGAAACTGGGAGAGAATGTTCTTAGCAGTTCTCCGCCAATTGAATCAGCAGACATTGATTGAGCCCTTACTGTGTGCATGGTCCTCTGGTAGATGCTATGGAGGAAATCAAAGTTGAATGAGACCTTTTCCCACTTTTTAGGGCAGACATCCAGCCAGAGAGGCAGCCAGACCCCATGGACTGCAACACCTTGTAGAGGTGAGAGGCAGGTCGCAGCAGCAGGAAGGGAGGTAGGGCAATGCATTTCACCTGGGCTTCCTGGAGCAGGTGACTCTGAACCACGCCTTAAAGGAAAGGAGGATTTCAATGGTAAAGGCAAAAGGAAACTGTTCTGGGCTGAAGCAACAGCGTAAGCAAAGATACAGAGGTGTGAAAATTGCGGGCAGCTGCAGAGAACTGGCAGCCCAACATTCCTGGACTTGAATGTGTTATCAAGGAGAGAGGGGGCCCCAAAGAAGGCTTTGAATGCCAGGGCAGGAATCCACCTCCCTCCAGCAGGCAGGGAGAAGAGCTGGAGGCTCCCACACAGCCAAGTGAGATCAGAGCTACAGCTGAGCTCCAGGGAGGAGCGGGTGGCGTGGTGCAAGGTGATTTCTCTTGTCTTCTTGGGGTGATGAGCGAGCCCAGGGGGTGGGGGGAGGGTAGGGTCCAGGAATGGAAGTGAGGAGAAGCAGATGGGGAAAGGCTGAATTGTGATAATAGGATGTGAGTGTGAGGATGAGGATGGGGGTGGAAGTCGGGGGACTGAGGCCATGAATCTCCTGGGCAGAGGAGGGGGTGTCTGTGTTGAAGGGGCTGTTGAGGTGAAGGTGCTGGAGGTCAGGTCCTCATGCTGGGGTCAGGCTGGAGCCTGGTAGCCAGGCATAAATGTGGCATCGTCAGTGAAGAGAGGGTGGCAAGGGGTCCTCAGGGCTGAAGAGGAAAGAGACCAACCCACCTCGCAGGGGTCATATCCTCAATGTCTCTGTCACCCCAGGATTTTTGACCCCTTGCATAACTTGTAAAGGGGTCCAGGCCCATGGAAAGCCAAACTGTTTACTGAGCTGATGGACAGCACCATGCATGGACCTTTCTAGAAGCGGTCTTGTCATCTCCCAGCTCTTAGCCTCCCCAGGGCCCCGCCACTCAGAATACGGGACAAGCTCCTCAGCCTTACAGGCAAGGCCCATCACAACCTAGTGCCACCACAGCCCATCGCCCACCCTGCCCACTTTTTCTAGCCACTGACAACCTTCCCTGCATTGCAGCTCCCCTAGGAAGCCCCTTTAATTTCTGCAGCCCAGGGGTTGGCTCCCCTGTCGCGGTCCAGGAGAACTCGCTGTACAGATCTCTCCCCGCCGCCATGCGCTGGGCTGTGGCTCCTTCATGGGCACTGCTGGACTGGAGCCAGAGGGGCCACATCCCACTTGTTCCCAGGGCTTCCACCCAGCAAATGGTAGTGAAGGAACAGGAAGTCCTGTTTTGAGAGCCCCCAGCTAGACTGGGGTTCCAGTACCACAGCAGCCAGCAATCTGCCCTAAGCAGAAAAGTAGGGGCTAGATGTAGGTGTGTGCGGTGCACCTCTGCCAAGACCAGTTCGGTCGCAGGGACCCCAACCCAGGTGGCGCTGAAGGAATTAAGAAACAGACACAGAGATAGAGAGCAAAAAGGTGTGGGACATGACATTTTGGGCTGGATGATAAGAAAGGTGTGGGACGACAGGGGAACCTCAGCATTCCCAGCTGAGAGCCTCATACATTTATTGATAGCAAACAAGTGATAATCATCATTTAACTAAAAGCATTCTTCGCAGGGAACAAAGCATTCTTTACTGGTGGAAAGAAACGGGCTCTGGTGTTTATCTCCTGCAGCTGGAGCATGTGGTCAGGCGCCTGCTATTGTTTGTGGTTCAGAAGCACCCCAAGCAGTCTTCTGCCCAAGAGCTGGCCAGGTATTTCTTTCCCTCGCTCCAGTAAACCAGCTACCTCTAGCAATGTGCGTCTCTGCCATCACGAGGATCTCAGTGCTACAGTTAGCCTGTATCTTTAAGGCCTGTTTATGCCAGCTTAGGGCCTGCTCCCAACACACCTCTCATGGGACACTTCTTGAACCTAGTGGACGACCTCATGCCTAGTGTCTGACCAGTGACCAGAGGTCCCTCACATGGGAAACGTCCGTGTCCAGTTCATGTTGGCTGACCACCTCGCTCTGCCACTGGGAGCCTGGCCTAGGGCAGCCCCTGTTGTTCTGATGAAAAGTGCAAATTCAACCCACCACTCCACCAGGAAGCAGGTCCAAAGATTTTTGATAGAGAACCTGGGCAAGGAAGGTGTAATGAAACTGGAGGAAAGTCCTCATCTCTGGGCACAGGAGGCAGGAGTGAAGAGTCAGGCAGAGAAAGATGAGAGCGTGTGGCAACTAACAGTAGATGGAAGGGAAGAGGTCATGGGTCAGTACGTTTGCTGGCCAAATGCCTGACTGTTCTTTTTAAAGGAAGTAGCAGGAAAGCAGTCTGCCAGGCAGGAGCGATGCCTTTAAGTGTTCTTTTCTTTTTTTTTCTCTCTTTTTTTGGCGGGGTGAGGGCTGAGACTGTGGGATTTTCTAGATCTTTTCTTTTTTAGTGGTTGTGGTATGGTGCGGTGGTGGGGGAGGGGGTAGGTCTCACTATATTGCCCAGCCCTGGTCTCGAACTCCTGGCCTCAAGCAATCTTCCTGCCTTGGATCACAGGCCTAAGCCTAATAGCACCCTGTCAGGCCTCTAAATTCTTATCTCTGCAGTCATGCTGGGTGTGGTGTAGGCCTGGAAACTGGGCCAAGGGGTGACTGAGCCCTGCTTCTGGTAGAAAAAATTTAGATCTGATCAAAATGTTATCTGATAACATAAATGTGGTGTCATCAGTGAAGAGGGTGTGGCAGTGGGTCCTCAGGGCAGAAGAGGAAAGAGACCAACTCACATGGCCATGTCCTCAATTCCACTGTCACCCCAGGATCTGGATGCCTGATCAAAATGCATGCCAAGGCAACATAAAATCCTAAGAATTCGCTACAAGTACTCGTTCTTATTTGTCTTAGACTTGCTGCTTTCAGACTCAAAGGGTGCACCTTCCCTCCTTTACTGCGGGATTTAGCACCTGAATCTGCTCACCCCAAACATCCACTTCAGAACTTGGGGTTTCCGATCCTTTCCAGGCAGGTATTTGTAATCCCTCACGTGGAGGGCTCCTCCACGTCCCTAGTTTATACATTCATTTGCTCATCTGTACAACTATTAAGACTAGCTTGTACCAGGCTCTGCTGAGGACCCCAGGATACGGTGGGGACACAGTGGACACAGGCTGTCCGTTTGCCAAGGGGGCCAGTAAACCACTAAACAAAGAGCAGCCTTCAACCCTGCGGCGCCGGCCAGCGAGCACCCATAGGCCTAGCTCGCTATGGCTGCTCCCTGGGCCTAGGCCAGCAGCTCCTGGTCTCACGCGGGCGCGGTGGCAGCTGTCGGGACTGCCCGGGGGTGGGGGCCCTGATGGGTTCCAGCAGGTGGGCGCGGACACGGCGGCGCAGACAGGGCGGTGCGAACAGGGCCGCGCGAAGGCGGGGCCTGCTGCGTGGGGCCTGCTGCGTGGGGCCTGCTGCGTGGGGCGTGCCCTGATTGGGTGGGGCCTGCTGCGTGGGGCGTGCCCTGATTGGGCGGGGCCTGCTGCGTGGGGCGTGCCCTGATTGGGCGGGGCCTGCTGCGTGGACACGTGGTCTTCCTGGGATGGGGCGGATGGCTTAGGGGCGGGGCCCGGAACTGTGAGCTCGCCCCGGCTCCCGCGACCTATATAGGGGGGCGTGAAGGCCGCGCATTCGCCGGACCAGAGCAATGGGTGAAAACGCTCTCCCAGGGCCCCTTAGACTTGGGTGGGACGGGGAGGCCTCGCGTGAGCCTTCGCATCCGTTTGGGACAGTGGAGGAGGACGGGCTGGAGGGGGGGTTTCGCCGACCGTGTCGCGGGTGCGGCAGCTCCTTCCTGGGCAGTCCCAGGGCGTGAGAGCGCGACCGCCCAGGAAGCGGGGGCCCCGAGACACGGCCGCACTTGGCCTGGCAGGGTTCCGGGAGCCCGAATTAGCCGAGCATGCGCGTGGGTGTTGGGGGCGCGGAGGCGTCCAGCCCTGCAGGGGCGGCGGTGGGTCCTGGAGTCCGGCTGCCTGCCATAAATTTTCGCTCCATCCCTGTCCCCCAGTGTGACCTTGGGCATGTAGTGCTGCTCCCAGTGCCCCAGTTTCCTGCTCTGGGGAGTGAGGGTGACAGTGGTCCCACCCGCTGTATGTGTGAGGGTTCGGCACCTGTCCGGACCCTAGGAAAGGCTTAGGAAACTAAGCCTTTTTTACTCCGGTTTTACGGGAAAGGAAACAGGCTCAAGACGTTTTAGTAACTTGCCCAAGGTCACCTAGTCAGCAAGTGGTAGGGCCCAGGCCTGGCCAACACACCCCCTACCCCCGCTACCAGCACATTCTAGAAGGTTCTGCCTCAGCTTAAATGGGGTGCATGCTGTGAGGGCTGTCCCAGGTTTTTCCAGCCCAGCTTATCTTTCCCTCCTCTGGGAGTCCCCTCACCCATGTCTGGCACTCTCTCCCTAATACCCTCTGGGGGCAGCTAAGGGCCTGAGTCCCTCTGGGCATGAGCCCCTGACTCAAGCCCATCAGACAGAAATAAGGAGCTCAGGGAGCACCAGCTTCATGGATAAACGATTGAAGGAATGAAAGTCCGGCTCTGTCTTTCAGGTCTGATCTCAGAGCTGAAGCTGGCTGTGCCCTGGGGCCACATCGCAGCCAAAGCCTGGGGCAACCTGAAGGGCTCCCCAGTTCTCTGCCTGCACGGCTGGTTGGACAATGCCAACTCCTTCGACACACTCATCCCTCTTCTCCCGCAAGGTGAGGCTGGGAGCCAAGAGGGCGAGGGGGGAGGTCTGCAGGGGAATGAGGAAGACCGTGAGACAGTTGAGGTAGACACCTGTTCCTATCGTCCAACCCGCTTCTCTCTATTTCAGACTTGTATTACGTTGCCATGGATTTTGGGGGTCATGGGCTCTCATCCCATTACAGCCCAGGTGTCCCATATTACTTCCAGAACTTTGTGAATGAGATCCGAAGGGTTGTGGCAGGTAAGAAACAGTGTCTTTTTCCGAGGGTGCTCTGGGATACACCCTCTTCTCGTTGGTGTGGGGGTAAGAAGCAGCGCTGGCCTGGGAGTGGGTGCCTGGGCTCTGGCCTCAGGTTTGCCAGCAATTCATGGGACACCTTGGGAAAGTTGGAGAAGAGCTTGCTTCATCTGATGGGTCCCCCAAGCTAGTCTCCTGGGTGGACACCCCAGAGGCTGGGAAGCGATTTCTCCAGCCCAGGGACTGGCAGCGAGAGGGCGGTCTGAGCCTGTGCCCAGTCAGACCTGGCTCCTTGCATTTCCAGCCTTGAAATGGAATCGATTCTCCATCATGGGCCACAGCTTCGGTAAGTGCACTGGCCAGGAGCTGACTGGGCCCGAGGTGGGGCTGGGAGAGAAGGATGGGAGCTGCTGCCCCGCCCCTTTCCCCTGAACTTCTGAGAACGGCAAAGATTGTGTGCCCTCTGACCTCAGGCAACACCTGCAAGGGATGAGGGAAATAAGATGAAGAGGCCATCAGGGCTCAGATATTGAGCCTCCAGCCACCCATATGGAGCTCCCTATCCCTGCCGCTGGTGGGAAGCTTTAGGGTTTGCAGCTGGGGAGGGAGGGACTTGGGAAGAAGCTTTAGGGTTTGCAGCTGGGGAGGGAGGGAGGGAATTGGGAAGAAGCTTTAGGGTTTGCAGCTGGGGAGGGAGGGAATTGGGAAGAAGCTTTAGGGTTTGCAGCTGGTGGGGGAGGGAGGGAATTGGGAAGAAGCTTTAGGGTTTGCAGCTGGGGAGGGAGGGAGGGAATGTCACCCACTGCTCTGTTGTCCCCCACTGCTCTGTTGTCCCCCACTGCTCTGTTGTCCCCCACTGCTCTGTTGTCCCCCAGGTGGCGCCGTGGCTGGGATGGTGAGTAGATGGCTTTGGTCAACTGGAGGTCCCTTGGGTGGGGTGGGGAGTGCAGAGAAGAAAGGGGAAGTTACCTGGGAAGTGTCTCCCAGGAAGTGCCTCCTCTGGTCACAGTATGATAGTTATACTAGGAAGATGGTGTAAACGATGGGGACTCCTGGTGTAGTTAATGCTTCCACCCCCGATACCCTGTCCCAGAGCACCCTGGAGTCCAGCCAGGGTCTGGAGCTCAGTGCTGGGTGCAGACCTGGGGGGTGGGGGAAGGCACACCATGGGATAGAAGATTCTCCTTCTGATCTCTTGGTCAGCACCCTCCCCCAGCCTAAAAGATGTTTCAGGAAACACCGGGGTCCTCAGGGAAAGCAGGGAGTGCCCTTTCCTTCTTTCCCCCACTTATTCTCCCCTTTTGGCATCCTCTCAGTTTTCCTGTACCTTCCCCGAGATGGTAGATAAACTCATCTTGCTGGACGTGTCACCATTTGTCCTGGACTTTCATGTGAGAAGCTGGGCTTTCATGCATGCGGTCAGTGGGGAAGACCTGGGCCCCGGCCAGTCCTCTCAGCCCCGTCTCCTTTGGTGGACATTAGGGAAGCAGGAGGAGATGGCAGAGGGGGGAAAGGGAGTCGGGGACCTGCCCCCCAACAGAGGACAGCCTTGTGCTGCTTATACCCCTAGGAGTGGTCAGGAGAAGGGGTGTGGGGGACCCCTTGGAAACTGTGTGTGTGGCCTGGGATCTGCAGAATGCCAGGCTGGTCGTGCAGTGGCAGGTGGTGGAAGAGGGCAGGAGCCGTGGGTGAAGGACACTCTAGGGCACACAACTGCAGTCACACCCAGTCAAATGCCTTTGCACTGCGTACATGTTGCGCAGCCACACATGACAGCCCTAAGTGTGGACTGATGGGACAAGTACTGACCCCTCTGGCCACCACTACCAGTCATCAGTACCGTCCCTGTACCCGAGTCCTGGCTTGGTTGTTTACCTGCTGGGTGACCCTTGGCAAGTTACTTTGCCTCTCTGGGCCTTAGTTCCCTCACCTGTCAAATGCGGTTGGACTCAATGACCTGGCCAACTCTGACATCCTGTCATTTTCTTGCCAAGGGCTCAGCCTCTTGGTTGTGACACAACTCTCATCGGTTTCAGTTTTCTTGTCCATAGAATGACCACCGATCCCATAAGGGCAAGAGTGACGTCTCTCTCTTTGTCACCACATCCCCAGTCCTGGCACCCAGTAAGGGCTCAGGCAGTGTTCCTTCCATGAGCTCAGCTAGCTCAGGGGCCATGGTAAGGATCCAATTCACAGATGGCAGCGGACACTCCCTTCTTTGTGTGTTTCACCCACTGAATTAACAAGCGCAATGCCCCTGGGGGCTTCCTCCTGAGTGAGTCAAGGGGGGCATTTGGTCCTTTTGCCCTCCATTCTCGGGTGGGTGGATGGGAGCTGTCCCCCGACCCCGGCACGCCCGGGCAGCGGGCCCTTGGCTGTCCTCACAGAGTGAGCCACACGTGGTAGGGGAGCTTGGCAGCTCCAGAACTGTACTCCTCCCATTCCTTTTCTCCCATTGAGAATGATGGCATTCGTTGAAGCAGATGAAATCGCCAATCCCAGATGGTCCATGGCCTCCGGACCCTAATTTTGTGCCTTTGCAAAGCACTTGGCAGTTGACAGAGATTCCCCTTCTTCTCTGTCATCCCACCTGATTCTAAACTGTCCCTGGCCGCAGGCAGCGCCAGGCTGGCTGTGAGAGACAAAGAGGAAGACTTGTTCAGAATCTTGGGGCTGACTAGCCGGGGCTGGGTCTGTGTCCCCCTTTGCCGAGAGGGGCTCAGCTGGGAGGACAGGGTAGGGTAGGAGGGGCGGGGCCTTGTCTGCAGCCCAGAGCCCTGCTCACCCAGCCAACTGGCCCCCTTAGGAAGTGGAGAATTTGCTGACCTACAAGCGGAGAGCCATAGAGCACATGCTGCAGGTAGAGGCCTCCCAGAAGCCCTTGCACGTGGCCAGCCCGGAGGAGATGCTGCAGAGGTGAGTGTCCAGTGTGAGCAGGGAGCGAGGGCACAGAGCCGCGGGGTCCAGGGAGAACACCCCATAAGACGCGGGGAAGCTTCTTTCTCCCTCTTGCCCAATAAGCCTGTTTCTCCCTGGGGTCACACTGAGCACCAGGTGTCCCATGGTCTTCACGAACATGATCTGCCCCTGTTGCAACCCCTCCCCCAAGCACATGCTGCTTCCACACCTCCTCTCCCCTCTGGGACTCCACCCTGGGACTCCCTTACTTGGAATTCTCCCCTGCCCTTGTTTCCTGGCTATCCCAATCCTTGGGGCCTCAGCTGGGAAGCCTGCTCTGACACCCCCAGGCGAGCGGCCCCTCCCTGCCCTACAGGTAACCACACTGTCCAATAAGAGCCTGCCGACTGCCCTGTTATCCTGAGGACTGTGAGCCCCGCAATCCCTGCTGTGGCTGACTTGACCATGTTGTACCTCCCGCGTCTGGCGGTGGCCCTGGTGGGTCACAGCTCCATAAATACTTGTTGCTTAAAGGAGTAGAAGCACCCCACTGCCTTACACACACACACACACACACACAGCCCCTGCAAACGTGCCATTGAAACACGGGACACAGGTCAGGCGTAGTGGTGGCTCACACCTGTAATCCCAGCACATTGGGAAGCTGAGACAGGAAGACAGCTTGAGCCCAGGAGTTGGAAGCCAGCCTGAGCAACATAGTGAGACCCTGTATCTTAAACAAAAACGGAACAAAACAAAATTAGCTGGTTATGGTGGCGCATGCCTGTGGTCTCAGCTACTTAGGAGCCTTGGGTGGGAGGACTGCTTAGCACCAGGAGGTCAAGGCTGCAGAGAGCTGTGATCACGCCACTGCACTCCAGCCTGGGCAGCAAGAGCCAAACTCCATCTCAAAAAATAAAAACAAGCTGGGCATGGTGGCGCGTGCCTGTAGTCCTAGCTACTCAGGAGGCTGAGGCAGGAGAATTGCTTGAACCCAGGAGGCGGAGGCTGTGGTGAGCCGAGATCGCGCCACTGCACTCCAGCCTGGGTAACGAGTGAAACTCCGTCTCAAAAAAAAATAAATAAAAAATAAATAAAAACAAACACAGGACATGTGTATTGTTTGTGGGTGACCTCCCTTTTGCTGCTCTTCTCTCCTTTTTTCTTTTTTTTTTTTTGGAGACCAAGTCTTTATTCCCCAGGCTGGAGTGCAGTGGCATGATCTCAGCTCACTGTAACCTCTGCCTCCTGGGTTCAAGTGATTCTCATGCCTCAGCCACCCAAGTAGCTGAGATTACAGGCACACACCATCATACCCGGCTAATTTTTATATTTTTAATAGAAATGGGGTTTCACCATCTTGGCCAGGCTGGTCTCAAACTCCTGACCTCAGGTGATCTGTCCACCTCGGCCTCCCACAGTGCTGGGATTACAGGTGTGAGCCGTGGAACCTGGCCCTCCTCTCCTTTTTAATCTGACCTCCTTTTTATCAGCCTCAGGCACCCAGCATCCTTCTGTCTCCCCCAGGTTCCTGAAGAACCATAGCCACGTGAGTGAGAAGTGTGGGGAGCTCCTCCTGCAAAGAGGAACCACGAAGATGCCCACAGGTAAGGGACTCGCTGTCCGAGGCCATTGTATATTTGTTGCTATTCTTACTGAGGATGTCAAGGACTTGCCGTAGACCAGGCAGGATACTAAGCATTTTGCAAACAGCATCTTGCTGAATCCCCCTCTTGCCTTCGCCTCATCCCATTTACATCAGGAGAAACTGAGGCTCGGCATTGTCAGGCAACCAGGCGAGATCATACAGCTGCTGAGCATCCCCGAAAGCCACGCTCTGCACGAGTTTGGTCAGATGTCTTGGACCCAATGTTGCTGAATGTTGCGGCCATGCTCTGCTGGACCTGGAATGGGTACCCAGCACCAGGGGCAGGCTGTGAGGATATTCCAGGGGTCAAGTGACTCTTGGGAGAGGCTTATCACAGTGGAGAGGTGGAGCTGGTATGTCGACTTCAGAGCAGCTTTTGGCACAAGCAATTTCTGTACTTTGCTTTTTACCTAGGCAATTTCTTCCTTTTTTCTTTCCTT